TGGGTTGTTTAGCACCACGGTTAAGGGCACAAGATCTGGAGAAAGACGGTTTCAATTTCCGCCTCGGCGACATTATCAGCAGTGTAGTGGTAAATACGTGGTTTTACTTCTCTCACTGAGCCTCAGTTTCTTCGCATGTAATATGGGAGTAATCATATCTGCCTCTTCTGCCCGTTGAGGAAATTCAGTGAATTTATGCTCAAAAGGTGTGTCCTGGTGTGGCGCTGCAGGATAAGCGCTGGACAGCAAGGTCGGTTTGAGCCCCAAGGTGAACGGTTCAAATTCACCAGCTGCTGCGTAGAAACTCCATACTGGGTCGCTATAAGTCGGAACCGACTAGACGGTACTTAACAAGGCTACAACAAAAGGCATCAGTTAGAATATGGGCACCACCTCAGGGGAAACGTGAGAGAGCCGGTAACCTTGCCCCTGGCACGAGTCCTAAGCAGACCCAGCTCCCACGCCTGGGCCACAAAGCCACAGGTCTTCCTACGAGTCTTCAGGCGTCTTCGTTTCTCTCTAGGCTTCAGTTTCTCTGTTTATGAGTGTGTGTTGGGGTGGTGGTGGTGAGGTGGGGAAACGGCCCCGGGGCTGAAGTGTCGCGCAGACTGAGTGAGCAAAGGGGAGCTGTACAAGGAAGGATTAGGGATCGCAAAGAGGGATCCGAGTCCGGATTTCCGGTGGAACGCTGACCTGCAGTTCTCATGCGTTCCCCGAGGGCAGCAAGTGGAGGTCCAGGATAAGGGTCAAGACTTTGCGGGTGGGCGAACCCCGGTGCTTGGCCACCCCCGCTGGTGTCGGGGTGCAGTTCTTGGACACCATCGGAGCTGAGTTTGGAGATCTTCGCCTTCCCAGGATCACCTATTCCAATCCCTTGCCTGCTCCAGGCTGCGCCCTGACCTCTGCCCCTCCCCCTCCCTCTCAACCCCACCCGGTCTCCAGGCTTCCTGTTGATGCTTTTGGCATGGACCCCAAGAGGAAGGACTCTGCGCCTTTAAGCGTCGTAGCTTCATCTTTCCCTTTCTTTTCTTCCCGCCTCATCCTCAGGTGTCTCCTGCGGACAGCAAAAGAAAGGGGGCCCTTCCCCAAACATGCGACCCTTCTGGGGGCGCGCCCGCACAAGCAGAAAGCAGGTCCGGAATTTTCTAAGGGACGGGTCCCAAGTCTCGCCTCCTGGGGGCGGACGAGCAGAGAAGATTCCCTCTTTCCCAGAGACGTCCCAACTTGTCCTAGTTCAAATGAATTTATCGGATTTCTCCTCATTTTTAGGGATGAGGGGGCTTTCCACCTGCTGCCATGAAAGTTACTGCAGCGAGTAAGCTCAGTTAGCAAAGAGAATTACTTTTCATGTGCCTCCAGAACGTTGGGACAGCCAAGGGTACGAAGTTTGCAAAGCTAGGATGGGGTGAGGGTGAGGATTCACAGAGGCTGAGTTTCATTCAGTGCAGGGCTTTAAAAGGGAACCCTGAGGTTTGGGAGAAACACTAAATCTTTGCAATTGCTCCTTCCACATACTAACTCATTCTGCATGTTTTCCATACCCAGCTTCTTTTTTTTTCTACTTTTCTTCTTTCCTTCCACCCTCCCTCCTGTCTTTCTTTCCTTCCTTCCTCTTCCTCACAAAGATAATAAATATCCCAAACCAGAAGTTTCCTAGTAAGTTTAAATACTGATTTTGAAGGTCTAGACAAGGCCTGGAAATCTGCATTTCTAACAGATTCCCCCGCCCCCCCCCCCAGTGTGATTAGGTTGGTGAGCCAGGTTGGGAGATGACTGCTATAAGGTAACCTAAAGCTGTATCAGGGATATGGTATAAAGGCTAGGTAATGGTATATATACATAACCAGCTCTGGTAGCATAGTGGTTACGAATCAGGCTGCGAACCTTAAGGTCAGCAGTTCCAAACTAAAGATGAGGCTTTCTGCTCCCATAAAAGATTTACAGCCTTGGAAACCCTGTACAGGGTCACTATGGGTTGGAACCGACTCGATGGCATGTAACAACAACAACGTTATACATGTAAGAATATCCATTTATAGGTGATGCGATTACAAAGTAAAACAGATGAAATCAGTCTCAGTACCGACTTTATCTTCACTCTGCTGTACACATGGTTTGTCTTCTAGGGAGTGTTGCTAGCTTCACAGGAGAGGAACACTAAGGCATGTTTGAGGGATTCGTACTCAAAGTTTAATTGTAATTGCTTGTTCAATATTCATCAGAGGAAATCTATTTAAAAAGCTACCTTTTTGCTGGAATGGGTGTCATTCCTTTTTTTCTGTCACTTTCTCAGTCTCCTTTTTACCTTCTCTTTAGCCTCCTTCCTGCCTACTTAAACATTCATTACAGTGTAAGAAAACCAGGTTGAAAGCACAAGGACACCCAAGGAAAAGCTCTGCATGTACACTGCAGGTGAGGTATCTGTTGACTCCATATAGTCCAACGGGATTAGTCTCACCAAAAAAAAAAAACCAAACAAACACACACACACAAAACAACCCCTTTTTACTTCCCCCTCTTTCTTTGGCCTGACAGATGGGAACTTTGTCTTGTTTAGTTCCTGGAAAGACTGCTTCTTTCTGTGTTAGAATTAGGCTGCTGAAGGTTTTTTTTTTTTTTTTTTTTTTTTCTGGTCAGGCAGTTTGAGTAGCCCCAACAAACATATCCTTTGCAGAATGCTTCCAGATTCTGTGTGACTGTCAGAAATCTACCTGTTTTTGTAGGGATCCTGGTAGACCAGACTGATGATGTTTTTGTGTTTCCGGGAGTGTCTGAGAGGAGATGTACTCAGTATATAACGGTCCAGATTAAATGGTGTGTGAGAAAGTTGGAATTGGGCAGGTCTTGTGCATGGGAGATAAAGCAGAGTTTGGGGGAAAGTAGCTATGTATTTTTAGGCCTGTGTAGAAATCAGGAAGTGGCTCTCATTTTTCTGATCTGCCCAGAGCACAAAGCACAACTCTTGCTTGTCTCTATTCAACACGGATTTGTGTACTTTTCCACCACTGACCCCATGAGCTTCCTAAATCAAAGGGCCAAGGAAGGCCAGCAGAAAGGGACCTGGATTTCTGGCAGAGAATTTCCCCGAAGGAGTCCTTAGCATATTTGGCTGCAGTCAGGGAGTTCCTCTGAGAGCAATGAAACAGAAGTTCACCATGTGCTTATTAGAGGTTACAACCTGCTAAAAAATGATGGGGCACAGTACCCAGAAACATCTATTTCATTTGCCATACACAAACGTCCATACAGAATGTCTTTTCTCTTCTCTTTCTCTGTCTCTATTTCTTGACATATGGCAGGGACAGAAGTTGGGGGAGGATTTGCTCAATCCACTCTCCAAAAGAATGAACGAGGGAGCTGAGAAACTCTACACCAAATAACTGACTAATAAGAAACAATATAGATTGTTATTTGTAGTACCCTAAAGAGAAAACAAAAACAGAAACACTTTTGTGCGAGGGTAAGCAGTTGGGAATAGAATCTGAGTAAAAATTTAAACGCACCCAGACACACAGCCCCAGCGAGAGTATTCAATTCACTATTCCATAACCCGAGGACTGCCGGAGTTTGGTGAGCTTGTGAAAGAGAACCGAGCCTAACGCCGAACAGTACCAGCGGCCGACAAGTGGCGTTTCAGAGGCCGGGCTAGTAGTAGAGCCCGCGTCCCCGTTCCCTGGGGACAATCAGCGCCTTGCTCGCTGGGGCTCAGGACCCACCCACCCCTTTCTGCGTGGAGGCGGTGCCTTTTCGCAAGCTCCCTGCGCTGCTGCCCAGACCTCCAGCACCTGTATTCCACCCCACCACCCACGCCTCAAAGCGAAGAGGTGGGCACCTGAGGCGCGCGTCCTGTTTTTTCCTCCCCGGAATCTCCCGTCTCAGTCATTTTGCCCCCGACGTCCCCGAAATGCAGAGCATCAGCCCTGAGAGGGCTCAGCCTGTGCACTCTAGCACGTTCAGGGGGCGGCGAGGATGCTAGGGGATCGCCGTGGTCTGGATGCACACCCCAGCTCAAATCTCTGGGAAGGATACCCTCCTTCCCTTCTCCTTGCCCTTCCTCCGGCCCCGCACGGTCCCGCTCTTCCCAGCCTAGCAGCCGGTGCTGAGCTTTCCCTCGCTCGCCACTTTGCTAGGAACTTTGGCCGGCTCCCCAGCGCCACCCGGAGAGGGATGTTAATGAGGGAGCGTGGCCCCGTGCCGCGAGCCAGCCGACTCCTGAGCTGTGATTGGCTGCGGCGGGGCGGAAGGATGACGTTATGCAAATGAAGGGGTGGTCCAGCGAGGCGGGGGCCCCACCTCCTCCCTTTGGGGTTAGTGTGCCTGTGTTTAGCTCTGGGGAGAGTCAAACTGGATTCCATAGGGAAAGCCTGCAAATCACTTCTATTTTAGCGAGGAGAAAACAGAATCTCCATCCCGCAGGGTCCACCCCTCTCTTTCTCCCTCTCCTCTCTTTCTTTCTCTCTGTCTTTCCTTCCCCCCCTTTTCTCTTTCCCTCTTTCCTCCCCTCCCTCTCCCCCCCACCCCCCCACGCTCCCTCTCTGGTGTATCTGTCTACAGCAACCAGCGTCCTCCTCATCTACACGCACTGAAGGAAAGAAACATCTTTGGTTGGGAGAGAAGGAGGAAAAAAAAGAGAGGAAAAAACTTGCCTGGTTGTGGAAAATGACACTTGAAGTAGCAAAGCCGGCAGCGCGAGTTGAGCCTATTGTTTCTTAAATTGCCATCAAGGCTTTTTTTTTTCTTCCTGCTTCAAGTGAAGGGTACCTCTACAAAAGGAAACTACAGCCCCTCCTGCCCTCCACCGGCCTGTGATCATTACAAAAAAAAAAAAAAAAAAAAAAAAAAAAAGCACCCAAACCAAAAATCAACCAACCAAACAACCCCCAACAGCCAAGCATACATCTCTAATTTTTTTATTTTCGTCTTTTCGTTGGATTTTCCCTTTCTTCTATTTTTTCTTTTCTTTTTCTTTCTTTCTTTTTTTTTTTTTTTGATGTGTGTGTGTTATCGCTCAGTTTTGAGCGAGGGTTTACATTTTTAAAAATTTTGCTTTCCAGTCCTCCTTGATCTTCTAGTGAGAGTTCATCGTCTCAAAAAAAAAAAAAATCTCTGGTTGGCGCTTCTACCCCCCCCTTTTTTTTTTTTTTTTTTTCAATATTTCAAGGGGGAGGAGATTTTCCACAAGAAAAGGTTGTTTTCATGTTTGGGATTCAGGAAAGCATCCAACGGAGTGGAAGCAGCATGAAGGAAGAGCCGCTGGGTAGCGGCATGAACGCGGTGCGGACGTGGATGCAGGGCGCCGGGGTGCTGGACGCCAACACAGCCGCGCAGAGGTGGGTACCGCGAGGGGACCGCGGCGGAGGAGGCTAGCGGCGAGAGGGAGAGCCGGGAGGCGGAGGCAGCGGCGGCAGCGGAGTCGGCGGTGGCTGTAGCTGGGCCGGGCCGAGTTCGTGCGTCCGCGCCCGCTGCTCCGCTCCTGTAGCCGCCGGGGCTCTGCGCTCCCGGGTCGCACTGCCATCGTCGCCTGCGGCCGGAGATCCCGGAGCTGCCTGAGACGAGCCCACGCTTCGCCGGCACTTTTCCGTGCCTCGTCTGTGGCTGTTTTCATTTTGTTTTACTCAGAAGAGGCGTCTCACCAGCTTGATGTTAAATATCTCTGTTTTTATGTGATTACTCATTCTTTTCCGCCCGTCTTTTCTTTTTACATCCTTGACTCCCTCTCCTTTATTTTCTTCCTTTTTTCTGCCTACCTTCCTTCCTTTTCTTTATTTCTCCCATTTCCTCTCCCTCCCTCGCTCTCTCCTTTTCTTTCTCATCTTCTTTCTTCCCTGCTCCCTTCTCTCTCCTCTTTCTCCTACTCCCCCACCCCCATGTATCTCCTCTTTTATTTCCCCATTTCTCCCCCGTGTCTTCTCTTGTTTCTCCTCTCTGGCTCTCCCTCCTCTCTCTAGCTCTCAGTTTTTCTTAGTCTGCCCAGAGAACAGTAGCTACTCACTTTAATTCTGACATCTCCTAAAAAGTCTTCAGCCCCTGTCACCTCGACTTCTTCCGGCCCCTCTCCCACACTCAGCTCCCTGGATGTGAGGCTGTGTGGCCTAAAGGCACTGCCCTTGGAAGTTGACCTAGGGGAACTTTCCTGGGCACTCCCAGCTCTTTCCGGGGGCTCCTCGCCCCAGGTGAGAATTTTTTTTTTTCCAGGCCACCAGCTGGGTTTGGGGGAGTGGGATACCCTGTTTGTTTCACAGTGTGCGAAAGGGGAAGAAGGAAGATGATTACATCATGTCCATCTTTCAGGGTCTGGGTACTACTGTCCCCAACGCCTTTACCTTCTCTGCTAAGCATAGGATGGAGGTGGCTGGTAGTGAGAGTGAACTGAGTAACTGAGTTGGAAGCGAAAGTGTGTGTGTACTATTTATATGTGTACACGCGCTGGTGTGTTGGACGGGTTGCCCAGCGCCCCTGACTTTCCAGCCTCCAGTCCCCCGCGGGCGCGTTCAACCAGCTGTCCACATCCTTCTGATTTGGAATGAATGTGGGGATTTCTGTGGAATAGCGAAACTTTGTCACGACTTGTCTTTCCACAACACTCCTACTCCCCTTTCGGACAGCGACCACTACGTCAGCTCTGCATCTCACCCTTGGACCCTTCCTCTCTATATGCTTTATCTGGTGGTGGGACAGGGTGGGGAGATAATGTCTCTGGCTATCAGAGGCCGGGCACCCGCCGCCGGCTGGGACGCAGGGAGGTTTCTTGGAGGGTGGTTCCTACACTGAGAACCTGAGTGTGTTCTCTTACCCTTCCCACCTGCCCACGGAGCTGAAACAGGAGATTTGAAGGGGTGGCAAGACCCAGCCCTTATGCTTCTCCTTTTCTCTGAAGTTGTAAAAGATGGGTTCCCCCCCCCCTCCCCGCGAACGCGGGTTCACTTCATCCACCACTTTTCTTCCTCCCCAAGCAGCGCTCAGTTAGGTCACAATTAATGCATACAGCCTTTTCTCTAGCGCTCAAAACCCAAACAAAACTTTCACACCTCTTTGGCGAGTTCCGGGGCGCGCCTGCATTCGCCTGGGAGGCCGGGACACTCGCGGGGTACACGCGACCCCTTGTCAACTGGGCCCGGGGTGCCCACTGAACGTTTTCGGGTTAGGGACGGCGGTGTTTGGGGGTTCTCGTGTGTGTGTTGGGTGCCTGGGGACGCGGATCCGTGCCTGGCTAAGCCGTCTAACTTTGCGTCTTTGGCCGCAGCGGGGTGGGTCTGGCCCGGGCTCACTTTGAGAAGCAACCGCCTTCCAATCTGCGGAAATCCAACTTCTTCCATTTCGTCCTGGCCCTCTACGACAGACAGGGCCAGCCCGTGGAGATCGAGAGGACTGCCTTTGTGGGGTTCGTGGAGAAGGAAAAAGTAAGTGGGCACAGCGCTGCCGTCCCTTTCCCTAGCTCCAGGAGCAAGTCCTTTAGCGAAGACAAGCACCCATAACACACTCACGCTCAAGTTCCCACAAGACTCATAACTGCTCTGGGCAAACCCAGCCTTCCTGCTCACGGTGCCCTCATTTGATAAAGTTCGCGCGCGGTGCCCCTAGAACTGGAAAAAGGCGAGCCCGACGCCGCGCACGAGCGCCTAGGGCGCCTGTGATTAACGCATCTTGGGCCTCTTGACCATGCGCGGCCCCTGCCTCTGGCTTCCCAGGCTCGAGGCCCCAGGCCTTGGGAAGGGAAACTTATCGTGCCTGTCCCCTCAGACTTTTCTCGTAGGGGAGACGGCCCAGTCGGGTTATGAGGGCGACTGGAGGGATCAGAGTTGGCGGGAATTTCTGCCGCTTTGGGGCTTTACTGACCCCCCCGGCCCGGGAGCCCCACTTGGGGGAAGTTGCCTCCAAGTTGTTTCACGCACTCACACCGATCTTTCTCTTGTCTCCTGTATCTTCTCGCCCTGCTGAAATCCAGGAAGCCAACAGCGAAAAGACCAATAACGGGATTCACTACCGGCTCCAGCTCCTTTACAGCAATGGTGAGGCTCCGTTAGGTCGCGCCCCCCCCCCCCCCCCAGTCCGGGGCTCCGAGTCAGAGCACAAGGCACGGGGAGCTCTAAGAGAATGATAGCCCCAGCGAAACAGTGTTTATCATCCTAAGGGGGAACTTATCTTTCCTAAGTTTCGCCCGAGGAGGTTTCACTGGAGGAAGCCCCGAGTGGCCCGAGAATGCCAGTGTTGCACCCGAGTGCACCTGGGACCAGGTGCGGTGGCTCGGCCTCTTCTGGATTGCGTGCACTCTTTTCCTTCCAGAGAGGTCTATTCTCTGGTTTTGGCCCAAACTCCAGACCCAAGATCCCTTAGACTCTAAGGGGCAGCGAGCGGTCAAGGCCTTGATGGCTCCCAGATAGTGCAAAGAAACTTCCACCTTTGCACTTTGTTAGACAATTGGTGCAGAGTTGTTAAGGAGAGTAGCCAGGTGGGGGTTCTACCCGATTGCAAATGCAGGGCTTCCTAGAGCGCTGTGGGAATGGTAAGACCAGAGGCCCTATGCGGTCACTGGGGAGGGGGATATTCAGAGACTCCACTTTCTTTGGAGAGCCACCCCCACTCTCCCTTCCCCCGCCTTTTTTTTTTGAGGGGGGCTGCTGATCGCCTCTCACTTAATTCTCCTTCTTGCACTCTTTCCCCCCACCCCCAGGGATAAGAACGGAGCAGGATTTCTACGTGCGTCTCATTGACTCCATGACAAAACAAGTAAGTTTCTTAATTCCAAGCCGCTGGTGTATCTCTAGGGCCACGAAGTTCGGAAAGTTACAAAGTTGGCTGTCCGCCTCCTCCAGTGGCTCTGAGGACCCTATCGAAGGAGCTGAGACTCGAACTCTCCAAGCCAGTGCAGACTTCACACAGTGTTGCCAGAGCAGGTTTTCCCAGCGCCTGGGCCTTCTTTTACTTGCAAGCGCTGCGTGGGGAAGATGGTTCCAGGACTCCTTCCCTTCAGGAGAAACTGAAGTCTTTTGAATTAGGATAACAGGGTGCTGAGCTAGAAGAACGGGGCTTGAACTTCCTCTGACCCAGCTGAGGAGCCCCACGGGGGGCGCACAAGTTGCTCTGGGACCTTGGTGCAGAGTGGGCTGAACCTCTGAAACCTAAGCTGGTCTGGCCTTTCTCATGAAGGCAAAGGATGAAGGGGGTGGTCAGATGGGCTAAGAGTGCAGATGATCTACTCCACAGATTTTTTTTTTTTTTTTTTTTAACGTGAGGGTGGTGATGGTGTTGGACCAAGCAGCCACAATTGTTAGAGGATATTTTACAAAAATCCTCTGGCTTTTGCCTCCAAGATTGGCAGGAAGCCAGGCAGCATGAGTGAGCTTGCGGTCTTAAAGGTACATGGATGGCGTTTTCTTAAGCTCCCCAACACGCCGGCGTCAGGCAGTATACATTAAGCTTGAGTTATGGTTTAAAAGATACAATTATGACCCGAGTCAGAAAAGAGGCCTGACATTTTAATGAGGCACAGGAACTTTTTTTGTTTTAATTTTAAGAAAAAGTTTAGTTTCAGATTTAAGTAGCTGGTTCGGTAGCTGGAGGAGTTAGTTAGTAGTAGAAAAGAAAAAGACAGCTTTATTGGGTGGGGGAAAGAAATTAAAACAAAGAGAAATCTTACCTTTTGTGTATCAACCACCAGTTTAGTAAAAGAGTGAAAACTATTTACTTAATTGTGATTTTATTATACTCCCTTTAAAAAAGGGGAAGTGGTATTTTTCCAGATACTGTGTTAGAAAGTTTCATATCAGGATATGCATGAACATTAAAAAACATGTTTTTCAGATAAGCCATTACTTAAATATGTTGTGAAAAGTGTACACTGATAAGCTTTTGGGATTTAAAAATCTGTTCGTGAAGAACCAATTTAATAACAGCTAACTTTTATTATTACTCTCATATTTCATAGTGACCCATATAGAGAACATGAGGGCATGAAACATATTTTTTAAAAATAGGTAGATATCTACTGGAATCTATTACACATTGTTTGCCTCAAATAATTACCTTTCTTGAAGACCTCTGTAGTCTTAGTTGATTATTCAGAGTAAATCCACATTTGTACTTTTAGGGTGGGTCGTATTTTCCTTAACATATTTGATTATTACATAGGATATATTTTTTTCATCTGGACACTATATTTTATTTTTTAAAAATACTGCCAAATAGAAACACAAAAGCCTGTTTTGTGTAACTATTT